GCAGTTCTTCATCTTCATCATAAAAGATAACCTCATTTGTACTTCCTGTATCATGAGATGCACCTGTAGGAGTCAAGAAAGGAAAAATATCTTCACAGAACACAACATCCCGGGACACCTTAATTTCCCCAGTGTCCGGATAGTAAATACGCCAACCCTTCTTCCCTTGTGGATATCCGACAAATATCCCAGGATTGCTTCTTGGTGCGAATTTATCTCCATTCCTCTTCAAGTTATGTGCATAACATCTGCATCCAAAAACACGAATATGAGCCAAAGAGGGTGGCTTTTCATAGATCTTCTCGTATGGTGTGACCCCCCCTAGCAAAGACGAGGGTGTGCGATTGATCAGATGTGCGGCAGTTTGTATACATTCTCCCCAGAACTCAATCGGAAGACCAGCCTGAAACCTCAAAGCTCTACCCACATTCAAAATGTGTCGGTGCTTGCGTTCTACTCTCCCATTCTGTTGTGGAGTAGACACACAAGACGTCTCATGAATAATTCCTTGCTCCCGGAAATATTCGTTTAGACATTCAAATTCTGTACCATTATCACTGCGAACACACTTTATTTTCTCTCCAAATTGTCGTTCTACCATAGCACAGAATTGTTTAAAAACAGTACCAACCTTACGTTTGGAATCAAGCAAATGTACCCAAACACCTCTTGAAAAATCATCCACAATAGTAAAAAACATTGTAGAACCATCAAAGCTTGGAGTCCTATACGGACCACATAAATCACAGTGTATCATATCAAATTTATCAACAGATTGATAAAAACTTATAGGAAAACTCCCACGAGTCTGTTTAGCACGCAAACAAATGTCACAACAACTGTGACTACTCTTACTTGTTCCAACTTCAGGAACAAGAGACAAAACATGAGAGGAAGGATGTCCAAATCGTTTGTGCCAAAGATCAAACGTACTCTCCTTTTTCGCACTGCACACCATCTTCTTTTCAGGCTCCTTAAAGTAATAAAGTCCTCCTTCCTGCTCACCCGTACCAATTTCTGTCTTCAAATTCAGATCCTGTAGTATACACTTATTGTTGGCAAAACCTGCCTCACAATTCGAATCCCTTGTCAATTGTGACACAGAGATTAAATGGCAACTCAAAGTGGGGACATATAAAACATCATGTAGAATTAATTTTTCTGTCAAATTAATCTTCCCCGATTGGACAGAAACAATTCTTTTCCCATTGGGCAAACCAATCTCACACGGTGATATTCCCACAACATCATACAATAACGAAATATCACCAGTCATATGATTTGATGCCCCAGTATCTATAATCCACCGCGGTGATACAGGAATACCTGAAAGCTTCAAACTAGAAACACACGATGATAGCGAGAAAAACAT